ATGTCATAAAGGCTTAGTCATGTCTCTTGACCAAGCAATGAGCTGGTGCCCTGACAGTCTCTCACACTATCTAGTGCATTAGCTTCACTCAAAGCTATTATGGTGTCTGACCCAGATGAAGTCTTCATCCCTCCTGCGGACAATGAGGAGATGACGGAAGCCCTTCCATCCATCCCTCCCCCCACCACTCTGCCTATGGCAGAACCTGTGCCTGTGGTACTCCCCATACCTGCTGCAGTGGTCCAGATGGTTGCGTCTGCCCCTGCCCCTCCTTCTAGTGTCTCTGACACTCTATGTCCATTGGTCATTCACGCAACCAACACGCCATCCTCTGCCCCCATACAGGGTGAGGGCTCTGGCACCCCAGCAACCATTTTGGCTGCCCCAGGGCCTCCTGCTCCCCTTCCTTGGGACAGGGCCCATAATGACAATACTGCCTCCGGCAGCTATCAACATCATGCCCATCAGGGTGAGCATTATGGATCTTCCAACAACCATTATGGTGATATCTCTCCCCAGATGTCCAAGGATGAGTACTTGCATCCCCCCACTCTGGATTTCACTTGCAGGTCAAGTGACACACATTACTGCGACTTGTGTGTGGAAAGTTGGAAGCCATATCCTTGGCTTGCACTCTATCTGACACATAACATGGAATTGGCCATTTGTGGCTGAGAACAGCTCACTGACAAACTGGTATATAATCGCATCAAGTTATGAGATGCAGAGCAGGAGCTTGATTGCCTTTGGGGCGAGCGTGAGGAACACACAGATGAGATTCATAATCTCAAGCATGACTTTGAATCACACATTGCTTGTCTGGCGGACTCTCTCAAGATGAGCAATGAAAATCTCACTCGTTCTCTCAATGAGAATGCTTGCATGTCATCCAGGATGGATGAAGCCCAGCGGTTGCTCGCCAACATGCACAATATGCTCCTCCATGCTCAGAGAGACATGGAGATCCAGGGATCCCATCATTGGGATGAGAGCAATGCTCTCCAGGACAAGATTGGTCATCTGAAGGAAGATGTCTTGCATTATCACATCAAATGCAATGAACATTGTTCTGAGAATGATAAGCTAAAGGGCAAGCTGTCTGCTTTCAACAGCGCCCCTCCCCCTCCCCCTCCCTGTGCTCCTCTGCCTTCTGCCACTTGCAAGGCGGCTCCCCCTTCTGCCTCTCATGAGGCAGACAAGTTATATGACATCCTGATGGATGTCGGCCCCATCAAGGAGGCTCCAGCAGCTGCCCTGATGACCTCCGCTGTTGCAAAGGTCTCCACCATTGCGAGGGTTCCTCCCATTGTGAAGGTCTCTGCCATTGCCCTTGGTAAATGTCCCATAGTGGACAAGCTCCCATCTGCATGCCCACAGAAGATGCAGTCTCTCATGACTGCCACATCCTCCTCCTGCGTCTCTGCCATTGGCAAGATGTACAGCGCAGTGGTTGCCAGCTCATCTGGTAAATCATCCAGTCAAAAGGATGAGATAGCATACACCTTGCCACCGCAGTTTGCCCCTATGGGCATAGCGATTACTGGCAGTAAATGCCTGCCACACAGCCTCCCTCCTTATGATAAGGAGAAGCTGTGGGAGTACATCTTGACTCCCAGACACTTAGGTGCTATTTGCAAGCACAATCCACCTCACTGGGCGAGGTGCATGGAGACAGCAGATGCCTACTGGGCCATCCAACCCCACTATGGGCCCCAATTTGGACTACTATGGTCCAAGTATAACAAGATGATCAGTCAAATTGGAACCAAAATAAACCCCCATGCCAATAAGGGGGTGGGCATTCGCTGCTCATGGGATGGATGCTACTACATCCTGGACCTCCATCTCTGGAAGTTCTTGAAAGATCATTGTCCCCACAATGATAACAAATTATTTGTTTGCAGAGATGCAAATGTGTTCTATGAGGTCTGCATGGACCTCTTCTCCTCTGAAGATTGCTTCAAAAACCTTGCCTGTGCAGCAAAAATCCCTGAGCTCCCCATGCCCCATTGGAGCACGTCTGCACACTTCCAGCATGTGCTTTGCATCATTGATGGCCAGCACACCTGGGACATCATTGCCATCATGCATGAGCTTGCAGCCAGCGGGCTGCAAGGAGGGAAACTAGCCACATGGGTCAGCCACTTTGGCCATAGGGCCAGGAAGGCACAGCACATTGGTGGCTCCTTCTGCAAGCACATCCTTGATGAGGATGCAGCAAAGGCACTTCTGGCCTTTGATTCCCAGAACAACTCGCTCTGGACATAGGTGTATCAATCTGCAATTGTTCCACCTCCCCAGGTGGATCTCCCTCCCTTGGGTTTGAAACCAGAAGGTTTCCCCTGGAGTGATGAACACACCCCTGCTATTGCAGGGCCATTGCATGTTGACATCCCTTCTGAGAAGGATGTCTCTCTTGATTACGGTTCTGATGACCGTGATGGGTACAACAAAGGTCTCTGAGTTGTAACCTCCTCCTCTTTGAATGGGGGGGAGTGTAAGGGATATGTAAATATCCCCATACTTACCATATACAGTAACACTGCCTCTAGGGCAATTGGATCGTCCAATGGACTTACATGTAGCAGGTGGCTGTAGGCCACCCTTTTCTCTTATCTCTCTTTAGTACACCTGTGTTGTATTACTACTAGATAGTAATACATTGGATTAGTGTACCTATTGGGAGCAAAAGGGCATTGTAAGCCCTTTCACATGTCCAGCATCCACACAGTATGGACCAAGCACATACCAAGCAAAGGAGATCACAGAGGTACCCATAGAATACAAAATCAACAGCTAGGCTGGATAAAGGCAAAATATACAAAGGATGAGAAGCAGTATCAAGGGTTGAGGTGTGTGATAAGCAGAGTCCTACAGGAAAGACTGTGTCAGATCACTCATTCTGCTGCCTCAAAAGCCACACCACCCCGACCTATGGTGCAACCTCCCCATGAACATCCAGTGCCTTCTCAGCACATACCACTGGGAAACCTGCATCACATCCCCAAGGTCAAGCTATGGTGGCAGGGTTGGGAGGGGATGGACTCATTGATATAGCCCCTATGAAAGCAAGGCGTGCTCTTGGCAAACCGGTGTGCGCATTTACACAGGTCAGACATTCATAAGTCGATCGTTACATTCTATTAGAGATATAATAAAGGGACAGACACAAGGAACGGTGATGTCATCGTGACCAGACACTTCCACGTTCCTGAGAATGTCAGAGAAAATCCTGACGCGACACGACCTGTTCACGTCCGACCATCTTATTGACATTGGAGCAAATTCAGTCGACCATTTTTTTGTACTTGCTTCGCCTGTCCGTCCACCTTTTCTCCCTCCTCGCACTCTATGCCCACGACACTTGCAGGTACTCTGTCTTGTCCGAGAGCCCATCTTTACTAGAGCGTCGCACGGTACGGTACACATGTATGCTCAGCTTCATGCTCAGTATGCGCGTCTTGCGAAGAATCAACTGTCTGATATCCCTGGATGTATCGAAGAACTCTGCTGTCGGCCTTACGGTAGATCCTTGCAGCGAGATCTCCGATGCATAGCATCCCTGCCTGTATATCACAGAACATCCCTGTTGGTCTGGTGTCGAACCGATGTTGATGGTTTACCAGGTAGAATATTTCCCTATCACGACAGGGCCGGTTGTTCATTCCGTCACATCTTTCCTTGTCAAACGCGGGCTTGATCAAAGAGCATACTGTTGTGCTGCGCGGAGTAGAGGGCTCTGACCGTCTGCGGACGCGTACCGCAGATGGGGGTCCCCGCCCTGACTCCAAGATTACTCTGGTCTTTTGCTTATCCCTGTCCCTCAACCTGAGCGACGCAGACTACAAAGGAGTTCTGCTACGGCATTTCGCGACCTCAGCTCTGCGCTGTGCTGTGTCACGTCATATCCGCTCTTCCTAAAAATATTCGGCACAGTTTGCACGCAGGACAGGACGACTTTTTCGCTCTACACCTCGCCTGGCCCTGGAAAATTCCTACTCGAAACCTGCTTCACCCTTGGCTTCTCATGCTAGTGTCGCGCGAGACTAACGGGTGTGCTTGATCTCAAAGAACTGTCTTCACGACGACCTTGTTATTGGAGCGTATCGATCTCGTCCGTGGCTTTGCCGGCCCTCTGTCAGCGCGTCTCTCGAGACCCATCCTATTTTTAGCCCTACGACCGGTCAAGAGCGTCAGGACTTACCTCTCCTGGTGGCTTGTAGGTGGCTGCCCTGCACACATCATGCAATTTTTGGAATAACCTGACTGTGGTTACCTACGTCTTCGCCGATCTGAGCTGGGCATCCTCGATCTCTTTTTTTCCTCTGCTGCATCTTCTGGTACTCGCGCTCCATGCGCGCCTATTCAGCGGTCTTCTCATGCTCTTTCACTAACTGCTCAGCGGCCTTCTCCGGCTCAGCCGGGTCAGGGGGAGTGCGCAGTTCCAGCCAAGAAGAGTCTTCGTCCGTTTCTCGTTCATGGAGCTCATCCTGGTCCTGTAGGAGAACTCAACCAGTCTGCTTCTCTCCCAGAAAGCAACGAGACTCACGTGCAAGTCGATATCTCTATTGTCTAGGTGTCGCACCCCATACCCAACATCCAACTGGTCGAAGGATCTTGCCTCCACGGTGGCGAGCCATTGATTTTCAGTCTGCAAGACTCGTGTTGTGGTGGCAAGCCAAGATAATGCGAGCAGGGAGACAAAGGGTGTGATGCGAATGGTGAACATGTTTGTCAGTTATGCGAAGAAAGGTAAGTCGCGTTGGTCGTTTCGCCCTCGAACTAAACAACTGCAATCAATGCAGGAGTATTTCGTTATAAGAGGTAGTGGGTGAGAAGAAACCAGCTTCTCTGAAGAAACGGTTTGTGGTACGGCGAACATTGTATATGGTAACTGTGAATCATCCCCCGGGTTGAAGCATCCTCGAGCCTCTCCCAGACTCCGCAGTCAGGCACACGGGCACCCCCGCTTCGGATCAAAATCTCTCCTCTTTGCTAAACTGTCATAATCTACATTGATACCCACTTCGCCTGGCAGGTCGGGATAACATATATGCACGCTGATTGCTCCTTTCTCTTGGTCCATTTTCACCGTCTCCCTGTTTATGGCTTCATTCGTCCATAGCTCCGACCAAAGCATCCAACCCTGAATCAGTCGGGTACGACGTCTACGACCTGTACGACCTGGGCGAGTGCGAGTTTGACCAGCAAAAGTCGACCCGTACGCACTGGGGCGTGAAAGAAGAGCTCATCTCGCTCATCGCGGACGCGCAGGAGAAGAACCTCGTTTGCTACGTCGATTCGGTCTTGAACCACCGGGATAGGACGGAGGAGTTTGGAGTGTTGGGGGTGGATCAGAAAGATAGGAGGAAGGGGATTAGCGGGCTGTATGACATTGAGGTGCGTTGGCCGGACTGCCTGAGTTTTGCAGACACTGATGTGTGGTGCACAGGGATGGACTGGATTTGACTTTCCTGGTCGGCATGATCAAGTGTGTTCTCTTCCGAGTTCATTGGCTAAGGCTCGCTGACATGGACTCGAGGCAGTACTCCGAGATGCATTTCAATTTCAATCACTTCACCAGGGTAGACTATGATCAAGGGTATATTTAAGATCCGCGGGGATGGGAACTATGATTACGCGCCTTTACATTCGGAGATTCGGGAGTTCTTCTCCTTGTGCACTGCCCCTGCAAGCAGTGACCAAGCTGAGGGATATGAAGCCTACTGTAAAGTATCTCTGTGAGTTGAAGCATGTTTGAGGCTCTCCTGGCCGCTGTGTGTTCAGCTTGATCATCTCCGCGATATTCTCTGGGGAAGGTCTGTAGTCAGCTAATAAATCATCTCACCGAGTCAAACCGTGAGCCGAGACGCTGTAGATCGGCACAGCGTAAAGGGTGTCTATACAGTTAACTCAGCACCACGCGGACTTCTCATGACGTGTGCTCTCGGTTGCATCCGCGAAGTGGTTGACGCGTCACAGGAAGTGTATTTAATCCCTGTTCTTCTTTTCCCACCCCACTTTGTACTCCGACTCTTCAAATTCATCCTTGTCTATGACAAGAGAGAAGCGCAATACAAAACCCTTCTTGGTTCCGCGTCAGCGCCTTCCTCTGAGGCTTCGGCAGAGATTCCATCATCTGATTAAGTCGAGTTTTCTGTCATATTCTCATGATGTACCACTCATCGATGGACTAGATACTATCTAATCATTTCATTTCAGTGTATTTATGAGGGTGTAAGGGAATGATCAGCCCTTCTTATCCTATCAATGGTCCGAGCCGGGACCTGCAGATCAGGGAGAATACGACTTCAGCACTGCGACTTCAGCACTGCGACTTCAGCACTGGTTTGTTCATGTTATGTTATGTGCGACACGGGAATCCAACTCACGGGGTCCCTGTGGTGCCGGTTGGTTGTAACCTCCCCGGACCTGCTGTTACCCCGCTTGGGTTTGACACTGGTATTAGCTGACTACGCAGTTCCCGACTGGAAAACGTGAAGCATGCTTGGACTCGGTGAGGTGATTTACAAGCTGACAACACAGTCCCCGGCTGGGAGCCTCGAGCATGTTTCGACTTGCTGCGGTGATTTGCATTTGCAGTATATAAAGGCTCACTGTACCACAAACGATTTCCTCAGAGAAGCTGGTCTTTTCTGACTCACCATCTCTCACACCGATATAACTACTCTTGCATTGACTGCAATTGTTCGCGCCAAGTGCCACCTTCACCACCAACGCAACTTTCCTTCTTCCCTCACTTTCCAACATGTTCACCATTCGCATCACACCCGTTATCTCTCTGCTCGTGTTCTCTTGGCTTGTCACCGCAGCACCAGTCTTGCAGACCGAAAATCAATGGCTCGCCACCGTGGAGGCAAGATCCTTCGACCAGTTGGATGTTGGGTATGGGGTGCGACACCTAGACGATAGAGATATCGACTTGCACGTGAGTCTCGTTGCTTTCTGCGAGAGAAGCAGACTGATTGCACCCTCCTACAGGACCAGGATGAGCTCCATAAACGAGAGACGGACGAAGACTCTTCTTGGCTGGAATTGCGCACTCACCCTGACATCCCTACGCCGGGCCCGTCAAAGCAACGCGCCAACAACATCGGGTCCCTTATCACACGGAATCCCGACCGGCTACTGACGAATCACACTTCCATGAATCACTTGCTCAATACGCCCCCGATTCGGCCGAGACGCGAAGAAACAAAAGAAGGAAAAGAGCACACGGTTCCGTCACAACTCAGCCAAATTTTTACTACAAGGCCGGATCCCGAGCCGTTCACGGCAGAGGGCCAAAGGCTACGTGCACAACAGCAGATGGATCTTGAGCTGAGTGGTGAGCACGAGAAGGCGAGGAATAAGATGGAGAAGAGACAAGCAGCCGAACTGAGAACGGCGTCGAGGGCTGTAAAAGTAGCCCAAGTAGTCGGCAAAGTGAGCGATGCGTGGAAGAACTTCACCGGCCAGCCAGAACGGGTGAAACCGGTGACACCGGGGAACCAAGGTGGTTCAGGGAACCAAGGCGGTTCAGGGAACCAAAGGAACCAAGGCGGTTCATCGAGCTAGACCTAGGACCGTATTAGGCAGTGAGGTGCCCACAGAAGGTTAGCAAGGCCAGTAATATAGGTATACTCCATTAACAAGGTCGTGACGAAGATTCCGTAATCCGGTTCATTGAGATAAAGCCTGGCCATCAGTCTCGCACCATCATAGATACGTTGATACATGCAGGGAGATCAGACAGTTGACTCTTGGCAAGACCCGCATCCTGAGCATCTAGCATCGCTGAGCACACATGGGGAGCGTGATGTACGATGCTGGAGTAAGGACATGACCCGACAGAGAACCTTTAAGTGTCATCCGCACAGAGCCTCTGTGGGAGGGAAAGCAGGACGGAGAGGCAAAGCAAGTACAGTTTGCTCCAATGTCAACGAGATGGTCTCGGACGCGGAGTGTTTTATATAAGCCGAGTTTTCTCCGATACTCCCGCTCTCACGATGACATCACCAGTCGTCGTTTCTGTCCCTGTGTTACCTCATCCTAATCGAAAGCGACGATCGACCGATCGATGTCTGTCTCACCTGCGTATATGCGCAGGGGCTTGCCAGGAGCACGCCTTGTTCGCACGCCTCTTATATCTCTCAGTCCTTCCCCCTCTATCCCCAACTCCTGGTCCTTCCTCTCCTCTTCTCTATCTCTTGACTATCCTCGCGCATTGCTCGACGGCATTACAAGAATTACTACTTAGATTCAAAAGAAAGCAACATGTCGCATCATGCTAACGCAGTCTACTCCGATGCAGGGCATAACTTCACGATGGCACGTCTGCTTGTCCAATCCATGCCGTCCTAGCTGACCTTGGTCGGTGGTGGGAAAAGATGCAGGCTTTCGAGTGGTACTGCGAAGGCGGTGGGGTACATTGGAAGAAACTGCAGTCGCTTCTTCCAGATCTAGCTGCAATGGGGATCACAGCGATGTGGCTGCCTCGTACGCGCTTCCCCTTATAGGTGCATGTATGCGCGCTGATTGCTACTCTCTCTTGTTCCGCTTCCACCGTCTCCTTGTTTATGGCTTCATTCGTCCATAGCCCCGACCAAAGCATCCAACCCTGAATCAGTCGGGTACGACGTCTACGACCTGTACGACCTGGGCGAGTTTGACCAGCAAAAGTCGACCCGGACGCACTGGGGCACGAAAGAAGAGCTCATCACGCTCATCGCGGACGCGCGGGCGAAGAACCTCGTTTGCTATGTTGATGCAGTCTTGAACCACCGGTTTGGCGCGGATAGGACGGAGAAGTTTGGAGTGGTGGAGGTGGATCAGAAGGATAGGACGAAGGAGATTAGCGGGCTGTATGACATTGAGGTGCGTTGGCCGGACTTCCTGAGTCTTGCAGACACTAAAGTGTGGTCCCCAGGGATGGACTGGATTCGACTTTCCTGGTCGGCATGATCAAGTGTGCTCTCTTCTGAGTTCATTGGCTAAGGCTCGCTGACATGGAATCGATGCAGTACTCCAAGATGCATTTCAATTTCAATCACTTCACCGGGGTAGACTATGATCAAGGCACGGGCAAGAAGGGTATATTCAAGATCCACGGGGATGGGAAGAATTGGTCTTCCGGGGTAGACTCGGAGAACAGGAACTATGATTACCTCAGTAAGCGCCTTCACGTTCAGGTTCGCTGAGCGTGGACTAATCGGGGAACCAGTGGGTGCCGACGTAGATTATGACCATCCCGAGGCGAGAGAAGACGTGATCAAGTGGGGCAAGTGGATCATTGATGAGATCGGCGCCGCTGGGTTCCGTTTCGACGCCGTCAAGGTGATTCGCACCATCGCATGCTGTCATCCACAAAGTATTCATTACACCAGCACATTGACCGTGGTCTCATCGCCGACTTCATCAAGATCGTGCGTGAACAGACCCACAAGCCCGCAATGTTCGCTGTCGGCGAGTTCTGGAAAGATTCGATCCAGGATCTGGAGACCTACCTATCTGCCCTCGGCACTCAATTCAGCGTGTTCGATGCGCCGCTGCATTACAACTTTAAGGAGGCCGGTGAGGCGGTGGCAGATTTTGACCTGAGGAAGGTGTGGGAGGGAACAGTGGTGAAAGAGAGACCAATTGATGCTGTGTAAGTGCACATCTTGTGGCATATACCGCGCGTTCCTGGACATACGGCTTATGACTACGCAGAACGCTTGTGGATAATCACGACACGCAGATCGGTCAGTCGCTCGAGAGCTGGGTAGCTCCCTGGTTCAAACCTCTGGCCTACGCTCTGATCCTCCTAAGGCCGGATGGCTATCCGTGCGTGCTTCCCCCCACCCTCCTTTTCCCAGAATCTTCCTTATGCTCTGTGCAGCTGCGTCTTCTACGGCGATCTGTACGGTACCCTTGGCTCGAGCCCTCAGCCTCCAGTTTCGCAGCTCGCCGACTTAATCCGCGCGCGCAAGCATTTTGCCTACGGCCCACTGAGGGATACGTGGGACCACCCGAACTGTGTCGCTTGGGTCAGAGAGGGGGATGAGGTACATGATGGGTGCGCCGTAGTGCTCTGTAATGGGGATGAAGGGTAAGCCTTGACTTCCCCGCTCTCTTCGCTCCCCTCGCTTACCCTTTGCCCAGCGTGAAGAAACTCGACATCGGCACGTCCCACGCGGGCGAGAAATGGACCGACGTCCTTGGATGGCATGCCGGAGAGGTCATCATAGCAGAAGATGGCTGGGCAGAGTTCAGATGCCCTGCGAAGAGCGTAAGTATCTGGACTTGGGAGAAGGCAAGAGGGAGGGAGGCGTTTGGGAAGAAGTAGCTGCTGGGCGGCTGAACATGGGCAGCCTTCGGCCGTAGAGAGAGCGAGCTCGTAAGATGGAAGGATGCAGGCTTCGGACATCATCGAATTAAGGAAGAAGGACTGCACTGAAAGCGACACGATTTGCTATGCGCGACTCACGAATACCGCTGCTCAGGTAGCGCAATCCGAAAAGATAGAACAGTTCCACAATTCGAGCGCCGATATCGGCGGGTATAAACGCTAGAAGTGATTTTATTGCGGAAGAAACAGGATCGTCCTAGACGTCAGAGGATACGTACCCCACGTACGGCCGCATACCACCGCTGGCCAACCGACCCAATTCTGCGAGAGGATGCCGCACCTCCAAACACGCTGAGACACCGCCCCAGCACCACGGCTCTTGTCCGCTTTTGTAAGCTGTCCAATATCTTTGGTCATCCAGTAAACAGGAGACTGGTTCGGGTTGCGGTCGGGCGCCTACCGGGTTGCGAGAACGCTGCGCGATACAAGAAGATTGCCGAATGGATTGCACATGACCCGCCTTCGCTTCTGTACGTCCATATCATTCATCATAGCATTTTCAACTTCCTCGGCCCATCACCCTATCATCACGGTTTGTCCTATCTGTGGCCGCCCGTCCGCGCCGTACGATTCATTAACCATCTCGATTCCGAAACCCGCATAATGTCCCTTACCCCTATTCCTCCTCTGCTCTTGAACAAGAAACTGGCATTACATGCCAAAGGCTTGGCGCAATCCCGTCCGCTAGGATACCACCGACCCGTGCGGGGCCACACGTGGATCCTCCACTTGATGCTTATCGAGCCTCGTCTGGTACACAATGAAGAAGACAGGCTAACAATGAGCACTACCAGATTGACTTATCTTTCAACTATCGCTCACTGCGCGTATAACCTCACCCAAACGTCTTCATTACCCAATCCCTGTTGATAAGGCTACGCGTGCTTCTGCGCTGGCCCGCCTCTTCGCCGGATTACCTCTTAAGGAGCATCACATATCCCTCTGAAAGCGGCAAGAAAGCGCCGGAACGGCTCAGACGGGACGCTTCCTCATCGGGCTTCGAAACCTGCCACGCGGCGGGGTTGTCTGATGTCCCTCTATGGCAGTATTGTTCAAGTCCTCGGCGAATGGGCTATGGGTCCTTGACTGTGCTGGGTGCCTGCTGTCCCTCTTGATCCAAGAATATCACTGAGGGAGCACCATGGCATGCTTTGAGATGTGTGGCTCCTGTGACGGCACACAAGCTGTCAGGTGCTAAGTCTCCCACTATCCCCGCTTGAGAAGCTCAGCGCACCGGCCACCTACAGCCCGAAGGCCGATCTCCTGGCAGGCATCTGCAACGTGTAGGTGTACATCTCGTAACGCCATAGCATCGCAATATCGTAGGATTCTTTATCAGCGTTCCGGTGTACTGGACAGCCGCTTGTCTCGCGCTGAGTTTGGTCAATGTTTGAGCGGTTCCGGATTGGGGGCATAGGGTGATACGCTTATCCTTTGTTGATTATGGATTGCCCCTTGTGATTGTCTGCCGGACCTCTCGCACACAGGTCAGACATCGCAGCACACGCATCAACGGCAGAATCACTGCGAGTCCTCAGCTGGCGCCCAGCCGCTTGCTGGAAGAGGAAAGACGCATCCAGGAGGACGTCCCATCGGCTAGAATGGATGTGCTGGAAAGAGCGCTCCTTCCAAGCGTATCCAGCAGATGAGGACACGTGTGCAGGGCTTGCTATATATGCTGAGATGCCAGCTCGTATCTGCGTCTTCTGGTAGACGGTGGTGGGGCAGCAGGGAGAACAGTAGAACCAGAAGCAAGCTGAATAGCACAGCTTCGGGAGAGGGAGAACCTAGGAGAGTTGACAGCGGCAGAAGCGGAAGGTCGGGGTGCCTGAGTCCGACCGGCTGGGGTCGGCTTCCTCACTCATGCTGTACTCCAGCGAGTGGGAATGGGTGTTGGTGTTTTGGGTATTGGTTTGCTCTGTTCGCTGCGACGTTAGTTCCCGCTGTAGGCCTGAGGGGTGGGACCGGCCTGAGAAGCGATCCCGTAGCCTGTGTTACCCTTTGTAAGGTGACCACGAGGTGCTTATCATGCCCCTCTATCCATCCTATCAGCCACAACAGCAACAAAACACCCCGCCGTTCCAGTTCCTACCTCATAATTCCCCTTGCAGGTCAGACCACCAACATGTCCAGCATGGTCAGTATTGCTTTCCCGGCGGGAGCAGTCAACGACAGCACAAGCCGAGCTGCCAGCGTCCACCAGCAGTGGGAGAAAAGGCACCTGACCCCCCACCGCTCCCTACGGTGCGATGTGCTGGAGCTGAACTTCTATTTCGGGTTGCGGAGGGAGCGCCGAAAGCTGTGCGCGGTGCTACGTTCCTACACGCTCGTGTTCTTGGACGACATGAATATGCTGATGACGTGCAACACCCGCGGCCGCAGGTGGACGTTCTCCGGGAATTGAGGAGCCCGAAGCTGTTTTGCCGTATTATTAATAGTGTATTGCCGGTGCATTGATGGAGCGACTGAAATAGCAGGTGGAAGATATGACTACCCGAGGATTGTCTATTCCCCTAGTACTTGCGTGCTATTGGGGTGTTCAGTGGATGATATAGAGATGAAGAACGACGATCGGCCTGATGGATGTCGGCGATTTTGCGACCTGTCGCCCGAACAGCCTTGCAATTAACAATAGAAGATGGAATAATACCTAAAACCCCCGACATACACATGCTTCAAGTTGCTGAACGATCGCGTTGATAGCAAGTTCATCCTCCGCTGCACCATCAAGCGGATCCTAGAATCTCTCCTCTCTTCTGCCGGTACATCAATATCAGCTCGGCCCCTTTGACCCAAACCGGGAAGCCGTATACCGGTTCCAAATGCGGTACAATGGTACGATTGAGAGTTGTTCATCCCGAGGTAGAGAAGCAAGCTGTGGTGCGTGTCATCAGCAGCTCGGCCAGTGATCTCGCATAAGGTGCCGAACTCCTCTTCCCATTAATGCATTCGGCCCCCGTTCGTTATCAATACCTTTCCACTGTATGACCTCAGTTTATCCTCATTGCTCCTGTGACCCTCTCCTCCTCGACCGAAAAAATGGTATATAATCCCTCCCATTTCGACGGCCACTGCTCAGTAGGGTTCAGACAATCCTCCCAAGCTTCACTCGTCCCAAGCCAGTCTCAGAGCATACCAACGCCTGCATCCGCTGTCACTGCCAAACAAATCCAAATTACCATCTCCTCCACCTATCTCATCCCTCCGTCCTCATCCGTCATCGTCCATCCGTTCTCACCCGTCCTCCATGCCCTCCACAAACACAGAGTATGTCCATATCCGTTTATCCCATCTTCTCATGCTTCTGTGTCTTTATCAAACACCCCTTTCCGCGCACGCGTCTCGCGTCTCTATCGCCGCATCCGCATGCCTCCGCCCCGAGTCATGCCCTTTTTTACTAGTACTCCGCGCACACGTTCTTCCGCCTGTCTTGCGTGCTTGACCGCCGTATATATTAACCCGTCTCCAAGAGAGCTAACGATAAATTTCAGACCACCCAGTTCTCTCTCCCCGCAATCGTTCCTTGCCCAACGTTCCAACCTCCCACCAGTACTAATCCACCAATGTGCCACACCCACCCCACCCAGCGCACCTCCGCCGCACCTCTCTCTCTCCAGCCGCCCGTCAACACCTGCTGGCAAGAGATCGATGAGAAAACCGTCACGATCATCTGCTGCGACTCTACGGAGTGCCCGGGTTCGCCCAACTACATCTCCAAGAAGCTCCCCATGCCTGAGCGCTGAACGACGCTGAGTCAAGAGAGGGTACGTAACCTTGGATTTGTTTTGGGGAGGCATGGGACTGATGTTCGGACAGCTCGCACGAGCCCTCAACCATCCGTACACGCTGAGCGTGTCCTTTACCAATTGCTGCTTTCCAACTTCTGCCATGTGATCTCATACCCCATGTTCCACATGCCAACGATCTTCCACTATGTATCTGTATGCCCTTTCAAATTTTCTGCCTGTCTGTCCACAACCATGTATTCACGTCTCATCCCATTCCTCTTTCCACCAATACCAATGATACGTTTTCAATACCAATACTTATTAATGTGTCGCTATCGCTACAAGTCGGCGCTATCAGTTCCTGTCGCCCCAAAATGCCCGCATTTGTTCCCACAATCGCTGCTAATCAAGACCCGCTACAAAGAGGAAAGGGACGCTTTCGAGACAGGGATGACGAGCGTGAGTACTTGACACCGCCCCACCCAGCACTTGGGTAAGGATGTGCCAAATATGCACACGCGACAGCCATGCCTCACATCCAGAACATTTTCTGCAACCCTTCATTAGTCTGCGTCTCCGTAAGAGGCGGGGAGAAAACGTACATCACGTAACCCGGAAGCTAGGGGTTTGAACGCTTGCTGATATTGCTGGCCTGTTGGGTGCTGGGATCCGGAGCCGCTGTCGGAGAAATCTTTGGAGGGGTCGAAGTGGACACGGGCGCGTTCGGGGCTGCAGAGGATCTGCAGTACTGTTAGAAGGTGTTGGCGGGGGCCAGCGGGGACGTACATCGGCGTAGTAAATCGGAGCTGGGATGCTGACGCTGCGTGTTGCACGTTGGTAGTTGTGGGTAAGTGCGAAAGTCAGAGTTTGTAACCTGGGATAAATGTCAATCTATGGACAGGTATTATTTGCCGAGAGCCTACAGATCCGAGCTCAGGTGGTTGTCGTCCACGATCGGGATACAGTGCATTGGTCTCGACGTCCCAATGATGCCTTGATGAGCCAGGAGGTAGAAGTCGTCACTAGTAGTGGGTCAGAACCATCGATTCACCAGTTGGCAATAAGTACCCACTGAGGCGGGCTCGTGATCGTGCTATGAGCGAAGTGAGTTGTGGGAGTTGTGCCAGACACGAATCACTCACTGATCGACCACAAGTCCGGGATTGACATTCCCTTCGACGCTCAGCTATCGTACGCAGACATGGACAAGGGCTTACCAGAGCGTTGATCCGCGTCCCTCGGGTTCTCTGCATACAAGCGCACATGGTGTCTCTTCCCGACCACGATTGCCGTGATTTTGGGATTAGCTTCGTTCACTTCCCGGAACGCCTCTAGAATAAACATCAGCAGCAGGGGCATGACATTGCACAGGTACTCACGTCTGATCGCTTCACACTCTTCTCTTACTACTTCCTCGTACATCCTCTCTCCAACGCCGTCCCTGTGAAGTATGATGAGCTCGGAGTGTATCGCGATTACTGACATACTTACCTGTAGTAAAGAATCCGCTTTGGGGTCGGTCCTGTCATTTTGAATCGAGCAATGGCGCTCTACAAAAGATAAACAAACATTGTTATGGGCCGGATGAAACACCTTACCTTCACCATTCCGACAAGATTCCCGATTATCTCCTGTTTTCCTCGCTGGATACCAACAACACCGTTGTATTTCGACACATTCTGATCCACTGAGAATGAGATCGCCGCAATGGTGGGCTTATAGCCCTCGCCTGGCCGTGGATGGCTTGTATCAGCACCTGAGGTTGCACTTAGTCGCAAAGCACAAAATCTAGATGCGCTTCAAATACCAATGACCATCAGCGGCTCGCCACCTCGGATCCACTGGATGCTTCCTGAATGGGGCACAAAGTTGATTCCACCCAGCTTGACATTGATCTATTAATGTTAAGTCGCGGCATTTGCTGACGGGACGAAGATCAAACCCTGTTGGATAAGATCTATGTCAGGAGGCTGTTAATGGAATGGAGAGAAACAAGCGTACTTCAGAGCCACGTTCTGGCAATAGTCCGCATTGCCTCGAGGACCAAGAGCTTTATCAGTTCGTAGGTGCTAAGGTTAGCGGTAAGTTTCCCCTGCGAGGATAACACGTTCACGTCTTACCTGCGTAGGGATCCCAAGAGTAATATCGCCAAAACGCTTCACAGCCGTGCTACAAATATCCTCAACGAAATTCACAACATGCACGTGAAGGGGCTTACTACCACTCAGTTTCTCCAGGTGTGAAAATGAGAAGAAGACTAGGAGGGCGTTTGAACCGTTGTTTCATGTTTTCAGCAACCTTGTGCAGAAGCTAGAACGAATACATCAGAGCTCTAGGAAGGCAGGATCGAACAGGCGTACTTGTTCAATGGTTTCTCTAGCATCCTTGGGATAAAGCACAGGCGCCGGATCCCTTATTCCTGCAGGGCCTGTCAGGGAACAATCACAGAAATCGAGGTGTGAACTTGCTCATTCCACACCTTTCCATCGTTTTTATGAGCAATGAAATGAAGTTCTTCACGTCCGGAGGAGAGACCCTATCATCAAGAACAATGACAGCCCAGCTATCGATGTTCTTTGGGGTATGGAACTCCGCGTTCTTCCATGCGCGGAATCTAGGCTGTTGGGTTACATTGTCTTTGTATGAAACCGGGATGGCAGGCAGCATACGCCCTTCGAGCGAGAGTGGGTTTGAATTGACCCTGATACCCGCACGCTGCACATAGTCTGACTGCGCGTGACCCATAGCATTCGAGCCGGAATTCGTGATAGCGAGGCGATCGGATGGCTTGATCATCGCAAACTCCTTGATCTGCTTGTCCCAGCTAAGATTGTCAAGCTTCTTCAGATCAAAGAACTGATTGGCATCGATTACAAGTAGCTCGACAGGGAGAATATCCTGTTTCCTGTTGCTTAAAGATACGCAGAGTGATTGGGGATGCTTGAGTCGACGGTTGTATTTGTCGAGCAGATAGTCCTAGAGACGTAATATTAGCCAGTGGATCATTAAGACGACCCTCACATACCTCAACGGTAGGGCCGTGTTCATCTAACCGTATCGCGTGGGCACCTCTCTTGTCAAAACCACGGATGACCTTGGGCTGGGCACCTGGACGATGCGCCGGAAGGACTCACATGCCTTTGAACATCCGATTCAAGGCGTGGATATGACGGTCCGTCAGACGGGCGAGTTCACGAGGATCGGAAAGTCGTAGGAAGTTCAAAATGGTGTCCACCAGTGGACGCTGTACCCACCTAGAGTTTATATGAATAGGCCCTTATGAAGCGGTAAAAGATGGACCCACAAAACGCTACTGGTAACGTCCATGTTCACCATTGGACCGCTGACTGTGGCACGGACAGACCTGTTGATAACAACATTAGCAGCGGATCCTGTCTGCCGATGGATGCGATGGGGCGTACTGGAAGAAGCCTCAACGCAACATGAGATAGTCACCAATCAACTTGTGTCCCTGAGTGACGTAAAAGTTGTTGCCACGGAAGGCATGCATCCTGCGAAGTTTCAGCCTCTGATATACCCTGCACAACAGCGGGTACGAACTGCATAGGAGCCATCCGAAGGAAAACGTTGATGTAGTTGACAATCTCGTCGGGGGGAATGGAGTTGGGGAGACGCATATAGTTCGCAAGTGAACTGGGCAGAGAGGAAAATCAGTGTGGATGCCCATGACCTGCAACTTCACATCGTCACTCACGCGATAGGAAAGCTTCGGTTAGCAGAGATTTTGACGATGAAGTGCCCCTTCTCTCCAGGAGGAGGCGGGGGCCTCTTCCTAGAAGTTAACACGTTGAACTACGATGCGAAATTAGATTATGAGAGCAACCGTGGAGTAATTTAGGAGCACCTCCTGATATGCCCCCCAAGGATATTGTACGGTCGACAGCATGATACGGCTTCCATCATAGGCAGCACGGGGAGTGAACGCTTGAGGATGTAGTTTTGTTTGCAAAATGTCAAACAGTTCGTAGTTCCTTCTGTGTGCAGTGGCGGATAATTCGGGGACGATTTCTGTGCAAGATATCAGCGGGTTCCTATAGACAGGAGCGTTGGTACACACCGACTTTATTGAGATAAATGACGCGGTCTGGGTGAAGCTGCATGGGGTACATATTCGTAATAACCTTGAGTCGGTTGCCAACTGTGTCCTTCGGTCGGCGGTCTGGACCAGACATGGTGATAGTGCTGATTCAAGAGCAGGTATATGCGAAGGAAGTAGTGAGAGAGCGGAGGTGTTGTTCTAGAGCTAGGTCTTGAGACTTGATCCTTATTGATCGGATTACTTGAAACGGGCATCTTATACCCTGCGAGGAATATGACGCGTGAAAAGAAATCAGCACGTGATAGGAGAAAAACGAGAAATAGGGGTTTGCAGAAACCCCAAATATCCCCCGTTTGGGCAAGATCGACGGTCGAATATCCGGGAGTAATTCAAGACGCCAGATGTAGAACAGTCCGCCGCTGAGAAGGTGAGTGCAGTGACACGAGTCGTGCACAATCTCCTGTCTGTGACAGGAGCAGATCGCCGGAAGATGAGATGAGATGACTCACAGCGGCGTTCGGGATGTGTCATGAAGGAATCAAGCCCCTGATCAAAAGCAGGAGATCTTCGTATTCTTTGTTTGAAAGCGCTCGTCGTAGGGGTAATCAGTGACCAGTCAACTGGGTTGAGAACCGGAGTGCACAGGAGGATGTATGCGCGTCATTTTGATTATGTGACAGGAGATGTGTTCTGTACAGAGAGCATTGTAGCAGAATGACCCTGAGACTTGATGCAGCAACCTTCCAGCCTCACTTGCTTATCCGAAGGCTATTACGTGATGCGCCCGCCAGATCTTGTTATGCTCTTGACTTCAGTAGTCACGCTGATGTGACTTGTAGTGATAATAGATGAATGTTGTATAACAAGACAACTGGGGCAAATACGACTTTTCATAGGCGTGTCGGACACACATCTACTATCAGGTCTGAAAATATGTCAGATGGACCAACAAGGTGATCACAAGGTGTGTACCTCATTTCTTCGAGCTATTCGAGGTAGGGCAGGCCGGATTATTGCAATCCTCAACCCAGCATACATCGCCATCACATTTCTGTTGGCATGCGAAAACGGGAACGGAGAACGCGGAATCCATCGAGGTGAAAAGGGAAGCTGTGATGCAACACGGGCTTATAGACTGGCGTGAGCGTGAGTGAAACTGACTCCGGACAGATTATGCTCACTGGAATGCTGCACAGGTAGGGCTCAAAAGAATAGGTTAGGACATCACCCCTGCGCCAAGCAGAGCCCCCTTTTAAACTGCAAGCTCAACAACCCAAAGTGCATATAGCTCGTACATGACGCATATATGGGGAGTTCTGGGCGTATTCCGAGCGCTAAAGATAGCAGCACCCTGGCAAGACAGCAACTTATTCGCTAATGCCGTGTGCGTCCTTCCAGTACGCACAGGATTAATCCCGAGGGGTGGAGTTCGGGAGCCGACGTACTGCCGACGGTCGACGAAGAATGAGTTTGCGGAACATGCACTGATCTTGGAAATCCGAAGCGGCAATGCGCAGCAGAGACGGCGTGATCGTCCACGGACAAGCCGAAGAAAGTCGCCCACTCAGGCGAAACCGTAGCGGAGAATGACTGATTTCCAACTCAGCACACGGCACATCTTGCCGTGTCCGCATTCATGCAATGCTTCATCGGGCAAGCTGAGTGTCGTGGGGCTTCCCAAATAGACTATGTAGTCCCAGAGATTCAAGAGTTACAAAGGACGGCCGAAGCCCCGCGGAGACACGATCAAGTTTAATACCAGTCAAATGAAAGTTTAGCCGGCCTTGAGAGGCTTCGCCGGGTTAACCCAAAAGTGATCGGCATGCATGAGGTCGCATCAATGCTGGTCAAGGGCTTGAGCTAAGTTGAACGACGTTGTTGAGGATGATGACGATGGTTGGGAAATGCTGCCGTTATCTGATCCGACTAGGATCCGATCCGATTGAATCTATCGAAGTTGAAATGGGTCGGGACAGTTCTCACTCTATTTGTTTTATATTTATTCAAGTCTCCGCGAACGCAAAGTCTGCACCTCCGCGGCAAGCCGATTCAATCAGATACATTAAATAAAGAAATGAGAATTTCTAAGTTAGACGTCACGCATCTCCTGAGGATGGATTACCTGCTATGGGATAGACGTACTTGCGTTATGTGACGAAGAACTGCCCGTAGACCGGATGGGGTCCAGAGGTGCCCTCAATGATCGATACATACAACGCAACTTGTCACTTCTATTCACGAGAACCCAGACCAATACCATTATCGTTACCGTTGTCGGACATATCCCGTGCATCGCGGTCTTACCCAAGAGTCCTGCTCGTAGCTCAAACGAAATCAGAGGATGCGTAATGTCGAGCAGGATCGCAGGGAGGAGGGTGATTACTGACACCACCCCACCCAATATCGGGGTGGAGAGATGCCAAATGAGCATTCTCTTCAGCCATGTTGTGTGACATCCGAAACATCCTCTGCGATCCTTTGTCAGTCACAGTCTACAGCGAAAGGAAGAGACTTACGGCACGTAAACATTCAGATAAAGGCTTGCAAGGCGTGTAGATACTGTTACAGAGTTAGATGTTGCGATTCCGATGCACTGTCTGAGTAACTTATCGATCGGTCCAAGTGTACCCGTACACGTTCAGCTGCAAAGGATCTGTGACACCATCAGGGCTGCACGTAGTACAGAGCGTTGCATGCTCACATCGGCGTAATAGGCAGGAGCTGGGATCCTCGCACTGCGTGTCACGCGTTAGTAGTTATGCGTGAGGGCCAACGTCAGAGTGGGCAGCATAGAGACCGAGTAAGCCGGATCATCCACTGATGACCCACTGGTCCAAGCTCAGACGGTTGTCGTCGACGATTGGAATACAATGCAGCGGTCTTGACGTCCCAATAATGCCTTGATGGGCCGGAAGGTAAAAAGCGTCAGTGGAAGGGCATCAGGACAAGCAATACGCCTGTTATTCAAACTCACCGGAAAGGGGTAGTCACCAGTTGATGGTGACTTACCGGAGCGCGTGTCCGCGTCCCCTTGGCTCGGTGGATAGAAGCACACATAGTGTCTTCCCGACCAAGATTGCCGTGATCTTCAGACTGGCTTCGTTTAATTCTCGGACTTCCTCTGAAATACGGGTGAGTCTGTGAATTGACTCAAAACACATCCTTTCACCTAATTGTTTCACACTCCTGTTTCACAACTTCCTTATACATCCCTTCCCGACGCCGTCCCTACATGTGGCTCAGCTGCGAGTTCGTTGGAGTCACTAACACACTTGCCTGTAGTATAGAATCCGCCATGAGGTTACCCCTGATGCTTTGAATCGAGTAACAGCGGATTGCATATGTTCAACATGGCAAACCATCCCAGCTTGAACCACTGTACTTTCACCATGTCAACATGGTTTGCTATGTTCTCTTGTCTTCCTCGCTGAATACCGACAATGCCATTGTATTTCGACACATAAGAGTAAGAGATGGCCGCAATGATAGGCTTATAGCTGTCGGGGCGACGAATGACTTGTATCGGCACGTAGGAAAGTAGTGAGACGGAAGGTACAAGTGTGGCAGCAACGAGATACCGATGACCATGAGCGGCTCGGCATCTCGGATCCACTGGATACTTCCTGTATGGGGCACAAAGTTGATTCCACCGAGCTCAACATTGATACTAGGGCCAAACCCTATCTCCTTTTCAGAAAGAGATCGGGAATGAAAAAGTAACAGCTCGAGCAAATCTGCCACAGAGAAGCTGAGAGGTATGATCAAAGAAGTGGGCAAACTCCTGAGTCGAATAGGGATAGATCGCCTCTGATCGATCAAATGAGTTTGATTCCCTGTAATATGCTGCAGCGTTATTGAGAAGACATTATGCAGTGCAGGGATGTCGATTGTTTTGCGTCCTTGTGATCAAAATTCCGCGTGGCATGTCTGTCAAGAGTGATGTTGTATCCAACATTTTTCGGTTGCCACTCCACACGTATGCAAGACAGAGAATACAGATCATAGGATGACCAGAAGTGCTAAAAGGAGGGGCTCAGCTTCCAACAGAGATGCAGGCGGAAGACCGACGTATAGCTAGGTGAAAAAGAATGGGGTGTATAATCGGGGTCTTACACTCTCCGGGGTCCTGGATGAAAAAATGGTTCCAGGTGAGTTTTGAGTGGTGACTTTTGCTCGTAGACTCTTGTGTGAAGTGGGCGTCTTGCCATCGTTCATCTCTTCGTCCTCGTCGTCCTCGTTGGCCTCGTCGTCGTCTTCTCTGTTCTCCTCATCGCTGCTTCATTCCATTTCACACACTTCTTCAAGCAACACAGTCCACCCTGTGGGTATAAAAGTCTGCATCAGAGGTACGTAACGCGCATACATTTACCATAAACGCTGACGCAGGCGCCTAGCATACCCAGACCGCATTTTTCCTTGGTCATCTGGTAAAAACCTCGCTGCACCATATCCCCGATGTCCGTACCCGCCGCGTCTTCCACCGACCCAACGTCTACTGTCCCTGCCCCCGTCGCCGGTGCCGGTGCCGGGCGGCCAGTGACCCCTGCGGACGTGGGCTGGCAGTTCGTACCGCAGTACTATACATTCGTGAACAAGCAGCCACACAAGCTGCACTGTTTCTACAACCGTAATAGCACCTTTACCCACGGAACGGAGGGCGAGGACGTCAAGCATCTTTCTGGCCAGGCTCAGATCCACGACAAGATCGTTTCCCTCGGATATCATGACTGCAAGGTCTACATCAACAGCGTCGACGCGCAGTCCTCTATGGCTGGTGGGATCATCATTCAAGTCATTGGGGAGATGAGCAACAACGGCGAGCCGTGGAAGAAGTTTGCTCAGACATTTTTCCTCGCGGAACAGCCCAATGGTTACTACGTCCTGAACGACATCTTCCGCTTCCTCAAGGAAGAAACCCTCGCCGAAGGAGATGAGGCCGAAGCTGAGGCTGAGCCTTCCGAGCCTGCTCCCGTAGAGCCCTCTCAAGCAGAGCCTGTCTCCGGGACTGCCCAAACCGAGTCGGCAATGGACGCCGCCGCTCAGCAGCCCCAGGCGCTCAACGGTTTCCACCCTGAGCTGGAGAAGGAATCCGAGCCCGCGGAAGACTTGGTCCACAACGAGCCTGAAGAACCCGTCCAGGTCGAGGAAGCCGTCCCTCCGATGCCTGAGGAACCGGCACATAGCATAGTCGTTGCTCCTTCTGCTCAGACGGCTGAGGAGCCGGCGCCCACCCCTGCCACCGTTGCCCCCGTCACGGCACCCGAGCCCGCAGCTCCTAAGGAAGTTCCTGCAAAGGTGGTCGACGTCGCTCCTCCCATGCCGGAGCAGCCCGCCCAATCCACTGTCGTCGCTCCCACTCCTGCTACTGCCCCCGCCGCGCCAGCCCAGCCCGCCCAGCCGGCTGCACCTGCGCCCCCACCAGGACCGAAGACGTGGGCCGCCTTAGCGAGCAAGGACTCGAACCGCTGGGGCGCTAACGTCGCCTCGGAAGCGCGTGGTGTCTCCGCTGCTCCTCCGCCATCCCGTACGCCCGCTGCGCCCGCGCCCTCCCCCGCTCCTTCACAGGGTGCGCGTCCGCCTACTTCTCAGGGGCCTCCTCCCGCTGCGCCAGCACCCGTGACCACCGCCCAGTGCTTCATCAAGAACGTCACTGAGGCAGTCTCCAAGACCGCCCTCGCAGACGTGCTCATGAACCGTTTCGGCCCAATAAAAGAACTCGAGATTGTACGCTCCAAGGCTTGCGCATTCCTCGAGTTCACGTCGGTCGAGTCAGCTGCCAAGGCTATCCAGGCCTCCCTCCCGACATCGCAGGGCGGGCAAGGATCAGTTCGCGTGCCCGTTGAGGGAGGAGGGTACGTACCGGTGCATATTGAGACGCGTAAAGAGAGGGGCGAGAGGCCTGTGAGCAGGCCTAGGGGTGGTGGGCCCGGGCAGCAGGGCCAGACAGGGCAAGGAGAGGGCAGGGGGGCAGGCAATTATAGGGGCAGGGGCGAAGGGAGGGGTACTGGTAGGGGTGGGGAGAGAGGGCGTGGCAGGGGTCAAGGCCAGAACCAGCAGCAGCAGAAGTAATTGGTTGAAGGATAAAGCAGGTGCACGAGTTTGGAGTTGAGAGCAGGTAGGGAGACTCCTGCTCATGCTCCTGTTCGTGCTGTGTGTTGTAATCCTCGTCTCCGAGACTATCTCTTCATGTTCTCCATATTCCTCCTGCACATCTACCCCTCCGTACATCCTTCAACCTTCAACTTTTAGCACCGTACTGGTACGTCCTAGTAGTCAACCATACTTCCTCAACCTCTCTTTCCTGCACGGCCGTGAATCTACCATCAGTTTTCATGCATGACTACTGATATTTATGCCTGCGCTGACAGTGCAACAAGAAACACGGGTTGTTTGACACGTGATACTGTTGTCCGCCTCTTTGGTACATGGCCGGTTCAATCGTCAAAAGTCTGCTTCTGCGCGCAACAGTCCTTTTGCATCGCACAGCCTGGAAAGTCCCTCCACTGATCTCTTCTTCGTCGTCTGGCTACAACCACCACCACACACGGCCTCACAGGGATCGATAGTTGTTCGTGTTCGTCCCATGCTTACCTGTCTGAGATTGTCAGTGAAGCGATGGAAAGTTTACCCGGCACACGCTCAAGCACACATGAGATCTCCTTTGCATGTCCCAGTAGATCCCGTACTTTAGTAGATGACATACACTCGTATCATAACCACCATTGGAATAGCATGTCACCCCAGACAGTGTGGAGGCGACCGTCATCAGATCCGAGATCAAGTGTTGATGACACATCATCGCGGGAATACCAAAGCGCATTCGCAGGGCTTCCCCACGCAGTTTACTTAGCAAGGCTTCGACTCGCTGCTTCTCCAAAGTGTTGCTCAGAATAAAACAACGTGGCCCAAGTCAACGCGGTCTAACGAGAACATATAAGCATCGACGTGAGCTCGAACGGATGCACAAAGCAACATGAATGCATGAACGTGTCATAATTCCAAAGCAGGTAATGGTCATCAAGAGCGGTCATGCCAACCGCTACAAGACTCATATCGGTTTACTCTGCTTGTGGAGACGTATTACCGCTCCCAGTGCGTAGACGCCGGCATCGAACATGTCAGAAACCCCAGAGATAGAAATATTGAGGGAGTTATAAGGAGACCGTCCGCTATTTGCTCTCCCACACATATCAGCAATGCGTACGTTCGCCTTCCTCACTGGCATTACGGCCATCGCCGTCCACACCGCTGCTTTCAAATTTATTCCAGAGAATGTAATGCTTCTCACTCACACCTCGTCCCTTCCGAAGTTGTTCGATGTGTCGGTTTCCCAAAAGATCAAGGGATCCATTTCCTCATGGTACAGCACTCGTATATTCGTTCTTTGACTAACGGCCATCAATACCTTCTCCTCTCGCACACCATCCCCTCCGAATTCCACCGGAGCTCGATTTTGGACATCACAGACCCGACCGCGACCGGCGCATATTGGTCGAACATCACGGCGGGAGCTCTTGCTGTTGAATACACTACTGCCGGCTTGAACATCACCTATCCTGGGGGAGGGTATGCATTCGAAAGCCTAACGAACGACTCGTTCTCGGTGCTGCATACGAGGCAGATCGATCCAACCCTTTCTTTCGATATCACCTTCCACACCTCGTCCCCCATCATCCTCAACGGTGGACTTGGTTCTCTCACCCTCGGCGTGACCAAGGGACAGATGCCAAACATGACGACGGAGTGGAGTATGCCTTCAGGTGTGACGTTCGGTTCATTCCATTGGAACGGTACAACACATGAAATCGACACGGCGAACAGCTTCACATGGTACGATCGCCAGTGGGGTGGTGATGTGCCGAAGAATTGGACCTGGTTCGGATTGCACGTTGGTTCACCGAATGACGAGAGGAAGACCACGAAGGTCAGCCTGTGGGCGATCGACCAGACAGATAACCTCTTGCCACGGACGCAGTTCGCCACGATTCGAAAGGAGGATGGGAGCCAACTAGTCGTGCCGGTTGTGTGAACACCGTCAGATGACGTTTGGACGTCACCGCACACCGGCTACGAATATCCCCAACAACATACGATAACGTGGCCGGATGGAACCATCATGTCCGTCACATCGGTGAGAGAGGACCAGGAGTTGGTGGGACCGTTTCCAACGGGTGCTTGGGAAGGGTACGTAACCGTGACTGGCCTGTTGATGGGAGAGAAAATGACGGGATTCGGGATCAATGAGATCGTCCACTTCACGCCTGCTTTGTAGGTAGATTTTCCATTGTCACATGCGCAAAAGACCGCCGCTGGACGCATCAACCGCCGTCAATGCTGATTCAAATGTTCCATCGCGACGTCGTTCTTCGCTGAATTGTCTTCCAACCACTTCTTTACTTCTTTCCTTCCACCCAACAACAGTCTGAACACCTCCTCTCTCTCTTTCTCGTCTTGCTTGCTGTACAGCCTGAGGACCCACACACACACCTGCTCTATATCCTCAAAATCGGTATCGAACAGTTCCCACCAAGGCTCGTGCTCGGGTGGCTCAGGTAACACGACCCGTGCCTGTCGAGCAGCAAGATGAATGGACGCGCAGGCGATGGTCGGAAATGGATATACAGCATATACGGGCGTTTGAAGCCTGAGAAAGTAGCAGATAAGTAATGTGAACACTGCTAAATCACAGTCACGTACGCGTCGTTCAAGAAACTCCATGCCATTTGAGCGATGTCCTCTATTCTGCCCAATCCAAGCACGTTGAGATAGTTGACCATGGTATTATATGGCAGCTGGACTTGTACGTTGAAAGCAAGTCGCTTGAGGAGCTGCATCTCGCCAATGATTAATTCATCTTTATACGCGTAGTATTCATCCGAGTAGTACGACATGGGCGTGTACTGGAACCCATCAAGAGGCATACTAGGATGCGACAGTGTATAGCGGAGTCGAGAGAGAAGCAAGTCAAAAGTGTTAATGATATCGCGCATGCGTGCTATGTGCTCTTCCAGTTTCGAGGCGAGATAGAGGGCACCCATCGCAACTTCCTGACTGTGTAGTCAGTTCCGGTCATTCCAACCTTGGTAATCGTGCATACCAATATAGAGAATTCCCTCATGCTAGTCACGTACCAGAACCTCTGAAAGAGTACCTGAGCTGTGGCCATCACGACCTGTGGCCTGTCGCAAATTTTAGCAGCATGAACACCGCTCCTTAGCACAAATGGAACGCACGTTCCCAGTAGAATGCCAGCGCTCTGAATCAACCTGCATCCCTCTGCTCGCAAGTCTTCCTCCAACCAATCCGGTACTCCATCAGCCCGAGAAGGTGTTTGTGAAATTTGTGCTGCCGAGGCAAGGGGATATAAGAGAGGATGTTGGATTGCCATCCAAAAGCTGGAGCACTATCACAGAGCTGTCGACGCGGCAGAAAACGCGTTGTCGGAGACACGCGCTTCGCTTCCGAGCCTGTTTCCTCTTCCCAACATATTGTAGTGGCTAACCTGAAAAGCTACAATACAGCCCAATCTCTGTCTGCTATTTTATTGCCCCTTATGAGTACTCTTTGGACCAAATGTCATGGCAATATACCTGTAATACCGGACTATAGTCGAAAACACGTGAGTGTCACGTGATGGCGCGTCCACCCCTGTTCATTTGCCCCCCATCAGCCGCGCAGTCCTTCCACTGTCCGCTCCTCTAGCTCAGCCTTTCTCATTCTCATTCCTATCAACGTATGTTATTAATGCAAGAACTCTCTACTGCATGACAACTCTCCCAAATCTTCTCATCGAAAGCTACCAAGCATCCTTCCGAACCACAGGTCATACTCAGATGGCCAATGCCTCCTTTAACCCCGCCATGCATGGTGCTGCGACGTCGACTCAGTTTATGAACATGCCTCCTGCTGGAGAGATAAGTCAATTCACAGCTGAGCAGATTGCGACACTGCAAGCAAAGCTGGAGAAACGGCTTGGACCTGGTACGGGAATACCGCTATGTCTGACTCCCCGTGGCCTGATCTGTGTCATGCAGAGTACATCTCGACGCGCCCAGGTCCAGGGGGTGGACCAACGATAACTTATGCGGAGGGATGGAAGATAATCAACCTCGCAAACGAGGTGTTTGGATTCAATGGCTGGTGTTCTTCCATTACGAACCTAACAATCGATTTCGTATGTCCAGTCACACTGTCGCCCGCGTCTACCCTCTCCTCTGACCGCTCCCTGTAGATTGACGCTCACGATACTACGCCTCCCCGTTATAGTGTTGGCACACATTGTATCACTCGCGTTACTCTGCGCGACGGGACGTATCATGAGGATGTCGGATATGGCACTGCGGAGAACCAGAAAGGGAAAGCGACCGCCCTTGATAAGGTGCGCATATATGGACCTTAAACGGCATACCAGCCCCTGAAAGTATCTAGGCAAAGAAGGAAGCTGTTACAGATGCTTTGAAGCGCACCCTCAGAAGCTTTGGAAACCTACTCGGAAATTGCTTATATGATAAGCAGTATACCGAACAGATCAAGAATATCAAATTACCACCGGTATCATCTGCAGTCGCTCCCGACTATTATCTCTTCTGACGCGGATTGTATTCAGCCCAAGAAGCTCGATGCCAAAGAACTGCACCGTCGGCCAGAATTCGATCCTGCGCTCATAACCCCAAGCGAACCTTCACGTATCGGCCCTGAAGCCGGACCCTCCAATGCTCCTACATCCGGCAATGCTCCAACGAAGCCTCTATCTGTTAAACCCCCTGTACGCGCGCATACAGTGCCAGTACCACCTGCGCCAAACCTGAAATCCGAGTCACCTCGATTGCCTTCACCTGACGACAGCAACGACACGACGTACGACTTCGGCCCAGAAGACGATTCCCTCTTTGCACAAATTTTTCTGGAGGAACCTGGAGTGAACCAGGATGAGGACAGACCCTTAGTCTACATGGATGATGACAGTCGCACTATATCGCGCTCGTGAGTTAGTACACGTACCGGTAGCAGCACTGCTGAGCGTGCCTCTAGGAGCACAATGGATCGGCCCATGTCGCGCTCAGTGCTTGCACAGCCTCAGCCTTCTTCACGCCAAACAATGCCCACTGAAGAATCCCGCAAGAACAACAATGTACCACCACGCGCTCAACAAGTGTCACGACCGCAGCATACTACCCATCCACAAGGTCAAGAAGCGCCAGTTCGTCAGCAGCAAGAGCAAGAGGAACGGCTGCAACGGCAGGCGCAGCCACGTCGCCAACCTGATCATCAGGATCAACGTCCCCGTCAATCACTGCAAATGTCTAACTCCGGTCAATCCCCTGAACCTCGAAAGAACGTCACAACGCCCGAGGTTCAATCAGCAAGAGCAGCACCTCAAGAGGCGCCTCCGCTCACACCAAGTCGTGCAAATCGGCGCCCTCCGAGCAATCAAAACAATTTACCTCCCACGTATACCTCGCGTCGGACCACGACAACGGCTGCAAGACCCTCCGATCTTCAGTTCGATAACCCGCAAGAAAGCAGAACTAGTTCCAACATGGATCGAGAAAGCACTCATGGTAACAGGCACGGGCAGGAGAAGAGCGACGGATTTACTATCCTCAATGTCCAAAACGACGAGCGTCCCGGATTCGGAAACACTTCAAATCGAAGAAGTCATCATGGTAGCTCTGGTGGTGGGCACCGCTCTAGCGAGAGCGGAGGCGCATTGTCGCGTCAGGCAGAGCACCAGAGGCCGGGTAATAGGGAAGAGTACTCAAGAGGAGGAAGCGATGCACCTGATTCAGATTCTGTTGGCGGTTTCCACTTTCCTGTTGGAGTGGTACGTTCTCTCGAGATGGTCTGCAGTTCGTGTGCTAAGCCGAAAACAGAAAGCAGCATCGAATGCGGCTCCCCGTTTTCCCGTGGAAGGAGCTACGTCGGGCTTCACGAATGGGAATGTTGTTTACAGACAACAACAGCAGGCAACACATGCGGGGCCGAAACGGCGGTCGGATACTATGGCTGGGTAAGCTATGTCATTTTTGATCTAGTATCTTCTTCTAATTGCTCTCGTAGAACGGGAACGGGGGGAAGGCAGGTGCTGGGAGAGGTCGAGATGGATGAGAGGGGTCATGTGAAGCGGACCAGGTATTAAGGTTCTAACGATTCAGTGCAGAGCAGTCTTTCGCATCCCATCAAGCTCATTGTAATCATAGATCCGTTATCAATGCAGTTGTCGGTTTCACGAGATTTTCATCGAATGAATGCTTTCTGGACAGAAAAAGAACCTGAGAAGGAAGTGATATGTCCCCGCCAAGCTCGACTTTTCATTCCAAGTGATTGCACACGCACATGGAAAAATATTGAAGAATGTAGAATCCCGCTCAAGCCGCGGCAACGCATTCATGAGGCCAGAATACCTCAGAATGGGTCCCTGACATATGAACCCTTCCAATCATTCCCAAATTCGGCCCGGTAACCACCCAATATAACGCCTCCAAAACCCTTTATTTTCTAATTGAATTTCCATCAATCCACACAGTGATTTACGTGGCCATCAGCATCAAGTGTCCAATCGGGTTTTGCGCGGTGTCTTCTTGCTCGGGTTGTCTGATCGCCGGCCACGCGACCCTGCTCATTCCGAGCAGAAGGCGGAGAAAAAAAAAGAAAGGGGAGAGAGACGCATTCAGCGCGATGAGGCCATAGACGCGGATAACCTCTGCTGGCTGCGGTCCTTTTGCCCTAAGCAACCCCACTCAACAAGGGTCGCAGCGCCCCTCAACAGGCCGGGGTTGGAGTTTACTTTGTAGCTCCTCTGCTTTCTCCTCGACCATCACGACAAGGTAGAAGAGGAGAGAGGTGCATGGCGAGCTTGTGCCCGTGTGTGACCATCCGGCAGACCGACCTCGACACAGAAACACCAAGACCCTCACGCGCCTGGCGCTAAAATTCCAGCAAAACACGCATTCCAACGTCCACACGCCGCCAGCTTATTGCACTCTCTTTGACTTGACGACTGACGACAAAACGATATTTATTCTTGACGACTTTGCTGTACTCTTTTGTCTCTTGTTGTGCTTTGCTTGCTTTGCTTTGGAGATGCCGTCCAGGTTCAGGCTGTTGCTTGCCCAGTTTTGGGGACGCCACGAGCGCGATGTATGCGAGAAAGGCGAGAAGCCAGAAGAGCTGAACGAAAAAGTAGACCAGGAGAAGCACTCTGGCATGTTTATTCCCATCACTTCTAAAGACATTGCTGACGGTTCTCCCAGTCCCTCACAGAAGAGGTCATGCACACAAGCCCTCCCAATCCTCGGATATCTCCCTCTCCCACCTTAGGCCGCTGCCCATTGTCCTCAAGGCTTTCAGACGCCATTCGTCCGACTCGTCACATACAACCGGGACGACTGATACAGGGGGTTCGTGCGCGTCCCGAGAGGCGAAGAAGTCGCTACGGGTCAAGGTAGTCGTGCCGCACTCTTCTCCGGTACGCAGCCAGCGTGTCGCCCTCACTCCCTCCCCCTCTCCCTCCCCACCACCATCGCGTCTGCCAACCCCCCTCTCCCCCCTGCCCTCCCACCTTTCCGCGCCATACCCGTCAATCCCCTCTCGTTCCAACCGTTCTCGCCCCCCATCCCGGACATCGATATTTACCATGCTCACTATCTGGTCTTCCGAAGCCCCCCCTATCCGAGAACATCCCACCGCTCCTTCCTCTCGCTCTGTGCTGCCCAGCACGGACAGCGCGGGTCACCCTCTCCAACCATGGGGTAAACGTCGGCTCCGTCCCCGCCCAGCGCTAGAAGACGTCTTCGGTCCTCTGGTCCTCCCTTCACCCCCACGTGGACGCACGCGCACGCAGTCCCTCACCGCTGTTCAAGGGAAACGGAGCTACCGTCTCCGACCACCAAGATTCTCTCTCGACTGTCCACGGCTGCCGGAGCTCGAGCTCGGCGGACTGGGGTGGCCGGAATTGGAGGTGGAAGAAGAGGAGAGCCCGACGAACACGTTGGTTCTGGATAGGAGGGTACCTTTCCCGGTTGGGGAGGCTAGTGAGCCTTGTGTGACGGCTGTCCCTGGCCAGGGAAGGAGGAGGCTTATCAGCATGCCTTTGGTTTGAGCTCCCGGTGCTGGGCTTGGTTCGGTTGGACAATTGCGCTTTACTAGCGCTCTTCTCACTTTCACTACTTGACGAATTCTCATATGCCTGATGATCCCTCATTTCCCCTACCACAACCATACACTTCCACCTCTTTTTCATTCTCAATATCATCCCCGCAACCTTTCGTTCACCCACACATTTATCATACATTGTTATGTTTATCAGTTTACAACAGTGCCGTATAGTTCGTAGTAAGCAAGGTCGGATTAATGGATGGATGTGGTTATGTTGTTTCCATTTTTGATGCCAAGTCCCTGACCGATCGTGTGGGAAAACGATGACGTCTGCATGTGATGATGTGTGATGCGCTTGGCACGCGCACCAATAACGTGCAAGAGTCGTGTGGTCAGCCAAGAATGGGGAGAGGCTTGGCAACACCCTTTGGATAATAAAGTGCACAAGACTGCTCACCGCTTCCCTTTGATCGTGTACGATGTTCACACCACGTACGACGCTGCTTATCCTCCTCTGTCTGCTTATTCTCCTTGCTGTCCTACCCCATGTACACGCTTTTGGAGCAGGGAACATCCCCTCCTATGCCTACCTCGAGGGCAAGGCGTTCCGGCATGGAGATATAGAGGATGTACTCAGTACTCTTGTCAAGAAAGCAGGTGGGTTCCTGGGTAGAGGGACAAAGTTCGGAGGGCTGGATACTAAAAGGGTGTACTTCGGGTGAGCCGTTCTAAGCGTTAGAAGGGATTGTGCTGATTCGGAGCAGGAACTGGCTGTGAGTACGATGGTTGAAGGGAACGCTTGCTCTGATAGGGGTGCAGGAGGGACTACAGTCAAGCGATGGACATTGCCGCTCTGAAGAAACTCGAAAAACAGGTATGTGCCCCTTCCTCCTTTCCCACACCCGCTCACACAGCTCAGACAATCCTCAATCTCGTCATGGCACTCGGTTTCCTCGCGCACGGCTATGCCACTTCCGAGTTTGAGGTGACAGAAGAAAGGCTGGGCGTCTACCTTCCTACGGAGCATATTGACAACCCGAAAGGTTATGGCGGAGATGAGGATCCGAGGAAGTATCACCCGGCTCTCCGGCCGCCTGTGGATCAAAGGGAACTGGAGATCGATGAGCGCACGGGGATGAAGAACTATATTGGGAATGGTGAGTGCTTCGTTTGAGTACGTAGGCGCGCTCACAAGGAGCAGAAAATGGGAATTGGGATACGAGCAGGGCTTTGGTGAGAAGGACACTCGAGAAATGTATCGCCGCTGGGCGGCAGGCGCGTTCCAGCGGGAGCAAGGAAACAGAGTACGAGGCCTTCCGCCTGCTTGGGACAGCTGTATGCGCGTCATTCTCTTCTCCAGCCCCGCTCACACAGCACAGCTCCACACACTGGAAGATTTTGCCGCCCACTCGAACTTCTGCGAACTTGCCCTCGTCAACCTCGGACATGGAGAGGTGTTCTGCCATGTCGGAGAGCACTGTAGGATTCGCGCTAGGAATGGCAAGATGGTGCCTCCGCTTGTGACGGGCACGTTTGGTGGAGCGGACTTTATCCATTCACTGCTTGGCGGTGCGTTCCTGACACTCAGATCAAGGTATATGCGGGCTGATGAGTGTTTTAGAGGCGACTGATCATATCTCCGAAGCATCCGTCTCGGACCTGACGAAAGGGTTTGACCGCGCACGATCTCAATCCGGCAGTGCGTCACAGGACACACTCCGCTCGCTCTTCTCCCAGCTTCCTGGAGGAGAGGGTACTAAGCTCACGCGAGAGATGGACGGCGTACAGCGGATGAGGGCTGAGGGAGGTGTGGGGGGAAAGAAACCGGAACAGATGAGCCCCCAGGAACTGCATGCCGCGCTCTGGCAGGTCCTCAAGTTCCGTGATGGCGGTTTGTCCCCTTTCATCATCGTCGTTCGTGTTTAACACTGCTGTAGTGATGATGTACATCGAGGAGACGCTCGAGAAGATCCCTCTACTCTCTAGTTTGATTGACAAGATCTCCAACACGGTGTCTGTCTTCGTCCTAACCTCTATCGAGCCACTCATGAAGCCCATCCTGAAGCAAGCCACCGCCGGTCTGCAAATGGGCTCGAGCGAACTCGTCAACTCGGTAGACCAGTTCGAGGTGTTCAATAACCCTATGGCTGTGCGTCCCCTCCCTCTTTTGAAGTATGATCCTGAACGCTAGGCAGTCCGACCCGACGCACTCTTTCCTCTCCAAGGATCACTTTGGCCTTATACTGAACGAACCTGCAGGGATGTTGGGAAAGCTCGTCCTGACGTACACCGTCAACCTTGTCGTCCAGGCATGGGACAACCACGGTATGGATACTCGTGCAGTCACCGAACCTGTCCTGGAGTCATTGTATGGGCTTCTCCTCTTGAATTGTCCTTGTTGTGACCCTGACCGCCTCATAGCTTCCATCCAGATTTTTACGACCAGCGTTCGCAGATTCAATACCAGATGATGACCTTTATGAAAGAATGGATCCAAGGCCAACCCAACCGGGAAGAAGTGATCCGTCGGCTCACCCAAAACGCAGTCAAGAACCACGAGAACACACGGCTCCACACTGGAGGAAGCGACACTGGCTTGGGGCACAATATGGGCATAGAGGCACAACACCAACTCGGCTCATATGTCCAGTCTATCCCGGGTGTGGCGCAGGTACAGGGAGCGTACAACAGCTTCCAGCGCATCTCCGGCCAGGTGTCGCAGTTCACTGGTGGAGGAGCGAGGAGGGAAGTGACGGACGACGCACCCCCTGGAGCTGGGGTGCCGTCCCTCAACCCGCCGGGGACGTTCCCTTCCCATTCATTTACGGAGGTGACTACCACGACTATCTCAACAGGCGGGTTCCAGGAACAGTTCTCCCCGGGATACCAGCATCCCGAAGGTCGCCAGCCTCCGCAAGTCACGGCTCCCCGGCCGCCTGCATCACCGCGTCCGCAAGAACACGACTACCAGCAGCAGCATGGCCAGCATCAGGGAGGAAATTACCAACCGCACCACGGGGATGATCACAGCCCACACCAAGCGCAACATCAACCTTCTTATGCACCTCCCCCCGGTGCACCTTTCCCGCCACCAATGGGAGGATACGCCGGCCCCGCGTATGCCCCTCCCCAAGGTCCCCCACCCGGGCAGTGGCAAGGTTACCCTCCTCCAGGGCCACCCCCTGGACAATGGGGTCCTCCGCAGGGCCCGCCTCCTGGATGGCAAGGGCCACCGGGGCAGGGATGGTCGGGTTACCCTGGTCAGGGGAGGTGGTAAGATTGGAAACTCGGGATTGATATTGGACATCACAAAGGTATGTATATTATGGGGTTGAAGTAACTGTAGACTGTGTTCGTGTAGAATGGTGCACTGATGAAAGATCGTAAGTTTAACACATCGCGTCGTATGTTCCAAAGAGCCTCTTCTGTCGGAGATAAGCCCGACCACTGGCATGGGCTCTGCTTGTTCGCTGTTTTACCTTCCTATGCTGGGGGAATATTCCTGGACTAGTCCCGGACATTTTTCTGTCACAAGTTGATTAAACAATATCGTTGCCTGCGTCCAAGGCGAAGGCGACTTTCTTATGGCCGATACCTTTTCTCACCCATGGAAAGCGCACAGTCGTGGACCGATTCATTTGAAACGGGTTCAAGAGACCGATCCCACATCTTGATTCCTCTTGTTTCAATATCCCCAGTGTCGGTGGAATTCATGCAACATTAGGCGTCGGCGTTAAGAACGCCACGAAGGTACAAGAACGGGAACGTCAGCGGCCCGCACCATGGAGCTGGGCGGGTTCTCCCTCCAGTTCACACATGGTCAGCTTTCACTAGTTCCCACTCCTTGAGGGGGGTGGGGCTGATCGATGTCTTGAATACAGTACCACTGGGAACAAGATCCGATCACGAGAAACATGGAGGGTTCTGCTGACCAGATCTGGTTTGGATCTGATCGAGGGCACACCGCTCGGTGACGTCATGACAGTTCCCTTGTAAAGGGAGTATCGCACGGAGGAAGGGATGCAGCGAAGGGATGCCAAGAGCGGAGGCGACGACGGAGAAGGCACGCGCAGTTGTGTTCCGTACATATTCGTCAACTGCGAACAGAGGTATCGGCGATAATAGCCTTACACTAACGCCGAGAGTGTTTGGATCGTTCTCATTAATGTATGCTCTGGCAGACAGACTTAGTACAGACAGGTAAGAGCGTGGCTCACTCAGTTAACAATACAATGAAATTCGAATGGAGCGACCTTTCCGAAGGTACAAGCATGATCCGTAACGGCATCGGCAGTATCTCGTAAGCATTGTTGGCAGTCAATAGTATGCTCAATTAACAGGTTATACTGTACAGCATTCGATAATATATAGAATATCATCATAATGACTGCGAGGTAATTCCTCCGATGACCCCTTTCGGGGGTATCTTGCCTACAATGACTCCTCAGGCGCAAATTCCCTAAATGACCCCAACTGCTGCCCCTAAGTAACCAAATAAGGAAAGCAGTGGCTGTGGCAATAGAAGCACGTGCCTCCGGTCAATCCAACAACGTGTTTTTGTGAATGTTTTCCTATTAGAACAGACCTTTTTCAAAAGACAAGCTGGTTGGCATTGTGTATAGTATCTATTATTTTCAAGAACTGCTGCAAAATTCATTGCCTTGCCATAAAAGTGCAGTGTTCTCTCACCTATGTTTATGATGGTGAAAATTGGTGAATTATTATATGAGGCATCCATGCAGAATTAATTTATATACTGTAACATAACTAATCAAAAAACAGAACAAAGCTTGCAAATTAATTGTCCGAACATGCTTTATAAACTGACATGAAGAGACCAGACCCTAGCACATCTTGAACTGCTACCACAACCTTCCTTAATTGAAAGGTCTTTGGTTGCTTAGGGCAGGCCTTGGGGTCATTTGAGGGATTTGCACCCAAGGGGTCATTGTAGGCAAAATGCACCCAAAAGGGGTCATTGGAGGAATTACCTCTAATGACTGCCTTGCTTGTGATGTGTGATTCACCCATTTTGATTCTATACTAGGAATGGACAGCTCCCTAGACCTCCGTCAGACCTTCATGCCACACATCAGACCCAGATAGGGTCTTACACTTCTTTTTAAAAAAGAATAATTAGTAAGTGTTTTAGAGCTCTGCACATTTGAACCCATCATCCAGCTATTTTTTACATAGCTGGAGTAACATTCAATTTGGGGTTAAGCAGGTTGTGTCTCCTGGACCCAGGCAAGACTTGTTCAATTTTGGGTTTCCTCCTCTCCCCACCTCCCAGTACTTAGTTTAAATAGTTAAATATATTGAAACAAATTAACCACCTTATAGATACATGAATGAAAGCATTCACACATTCCAGCAATGCAGAACCAGCTGTTGTATTGAGGACACAAAGAGAACTATAGCAGCAAAGGTATACAGGCATTCACTATGGGCCAGACTAACTACTTCTATGCAAGTTTCTGGGCATCAGACCTTTGGGTGGATCTTCAACAGAGGAGGCCAAGGCTTTGCTGCAGGGCCTTTCCAGCAGGTTGCTGTGCCAGTCTTGATCTTCTTTGATGTCCCTCTGAGCTCAGGGGAGAGAGATGGAGAATGCTTGGATCCCTTTCCTTTCCCCTTCCCCTTCAGATCTTTCCCCTTCCCCTTTGGATTCCTAGATCCAATGTCTGTGGTGCTGGTAGAAGCTGCATGTTGCCTCAAGGCCAAAACAATCTCCTCAATCATCACTTCTTCATCTTCCTCCTCCCCCAAGCTTGGGGTTGCACAGTTGAAGTCATAATCTTCATCCCCAAAACTCTTTCTTGCAGGGGTCTTGTCATCAGAGTCCATCATGATAACATTGGCTTCAGGGGAATGCTGTGTAGTTGGGGAAGGGATTGATGGGGTCAGTTGAGGTGGGGGAGATGTTGATGCAGGGTCAGTCTCACTCTCCATGCTTGCCTTATCTTCAGTCCACAAGATGTCTTGAGTAGGAGGGGGACAAAGTTGAGGTTGCTTCCCATCAAAATCAACTTTGATCTCAAGTATGTGCCACTTGGGATCTTGTGCATCCAGGTAAGCCGCCCAAACACCATTCTGGCCATTGTTGAATTGCAGAGTCACTTGACCCTTCCTGCAGTCTTTCCTCATGTAGCAGAAGTGCTGACCACAATTTGCCCCTTTTCCCTTCCAAGCTCCTTTCCTGTTAGGGCAACACAGGCTGACTAAGTCTGCTCACCTAAGAGTGCCAAGAGTCTAAGCAGGCAACAAGGAAGT